CCGCCCCAGGAACCCGCGGGATGCACGGCTTTCCTCCCGCCCCAGGAACCCCCGGGATGCATGGCTTTCCTCCCGCCCCAGGAACCCTTGGGATGCACTTCACTGAAAACTGTTTGCAACAGACTCGAGTTCAAACGCAGTGAACTTGTTCCAGCTGCTTCTTAACAGCCAGAGTACAAAGGTGTATTGCATCCAGGGCTGAAACAAAAGCCTCTCAACACTTATCTTTTTAACTCAGTGTTGCTTTTGTCGCTTTCATGTGTCAAGGCTTTTTTTTTCCTTTATGAAGCCTCCTGGCTGATCTCAAAGGTGTGTTGCCAAAAGACAGGGATTAGGGCTTCACAAGCAACATATACACCTTTCAGACCCCATCAAAAGTATCCAGATTCTGTGAAACCCCCTCAATGTGACTAGTAGGTAAAATATCCCCTGCTCACAACCACCTGAGTTACCAGAAATCCCGCAGCTCACTGCTGCCCTGAGAATCACCAGCATCCCCCCTGAGCGCTCACCTTATAGTCATAGTCCAGTCCCAGAAAAACATCCCCCATGTCCAGGCGGTTGAAGCTGAAGCAGAGGCAGGGCCCTGTGCCTTCCCCTTTGATGTGCAGCGGCAGCCGGCTCTCTTGGCCTGGGGAGAGATTGCCATTTCAGTTCAGTTCCCTCCCTTGCCCTGGATCTTCCAGGCTGCCTCAGTGCTCGTCCCTGACTCCCTGGGTGGGACCAGCTCCAGATGCTCCAGGAAAAGGGATGGGACCCTTCTCTTCCCTCAGAAGATATGACCCTGGTCTCATTTCTAATTTCTAGCCAACCCCTTGGGCTAGTTTCTAATTAGTTTGAACCCTGACAAAGTGATGCTGAGTTTAAAATACGATCTCTGAGTTTCTTCCCCTGTGCTCACAGGAGCTTTGAATTCCATTCTGTGAAGGCAAAAAGCTCATGAAACAGAACTGAAGATAAAAATGTGCCGTTTATACTGATGCAATCGGAGATGACAGCACAGGAGCCAACAAGTATGAGCCCAAGCAAGGCGAAGCTCCCTGCTAAGGGTGACAGGCACATCGGAGGGCTGCGGAGAGCAGGCAGAGCATCTCAGCCACCCCCCGTGCCCAACATCCAGCTCCAGACCTGGGTACTCCAGGGCTCACATCTCCTGCACCAGCACCTAAACAGTGCTTGATGCTGTCCAGAGAGGAGAAGCACTCACCTATTCCCACCATGACAGCAAGAGCTCAGCTTTGTAAAGACACCCGAGCTGAAGCACGATGAGCCCTTACAGAAAACCAGCTTCCTCCCTGCTGAGCTCAGATAAACCCTAAACATGCTGCTGACACACACCTCCCTTGCTGCAAAGGGGACTGAGCAGCACAAGGAGGAGAAGAAAGCCCCAGAAGTTGTGTATAACCCTCAATGGAGCTTTTGTGCAAAGAATATTCCTCCTTCCCTCAGGCTCAACGTTTATTAAAGTTTAGGGATGGAAGGTTGCTTTAAAAAAAAAAAAAAAAGAGCCTTCTGCATAGTTATTCGAGAATGTCCAAAATGACTTTTTATTGCAAAGAGCAGCCCAGGTGTGACACCACAGTGACTAGATCACAACTGGAAAAAACCTCCCCTGGAACAGCCTTTTCAATGATCACTGAGTTTTTTATCTCACAACGACAGGACGAGGATGTTTGATAATGTCCAAAGCCAGAAAGGAAGCGGTAGGGAGCTTCTGCTGAATTCAACACTAAGCGGATGCAGCCAAAGCCCAGCTGATAGCAGAGATGAGAGTTATGTTTCACAGGCTCAGGCACTAACTGGAGGCCTGGGTGTTTCTATTTCACAGGCACCATAACAGAAGCAATACTGGGTGCCCACTGTCAAAAGATTTCTCCATCTTGCACTATACCTGGCTTAATTTTCATTAAAAACTCCAGGTCTAAGACATGAAAGGTCTTCAGAAACTGCAAAGGTTTCCAAGTGATGAGCTTCTGCCCATGATCATGCTGAGCCACATGTCCCATGGCCACTGCAATCAGAGGCAGTTCCTTCCCCTAGCAGCAGGTCCTGGGCACGTCATGCAGGGGGTACAACCTGGAGGTGCTGCCTTGCTTTCCAAAAATAGGGGCGGAGGTGACCCACCAGCCCAGGACCGCGTTGCCAAAGTCCTGAACTTCTGCTGCTTTCTGACACCCAGCTTGTTCACAGAATGTCCCCATATTTTGTGACTGGTTTTGAAGGCGGTTCTCACCCAACCACATCAATAAACAGTTTTACACGATGCAGGACAGTTCTGTCGCAAGGTCAGGGAGTGATCACTACGTGGGATTTGAGTTCTCCCTGCAAAGGTGGCTTAGAAAGGGGTTTTGCAAGGTGTAACCCAATACAGTTCTGTGTGCAAACAAACCTAAAAATGCATTTTAGGTGTCTGAGCACCCCACCATGTGCCTCCTCCCAGCACTCAAGAGCTACAGCTTTATTTGCATGAATAACTACAAAAGTTCATTTTGAGCTTCAATATTTGCCAAGAGCAAATTGCAAACCACTTCCTAACACCACCAGCTTTGCAAGATGCACAGCGCTGATGAGTTCTGTAAATCACCTGATCCAGAAGCATCTGTTAAGCAATTTATGGAGGCACCGGCAAAAAACCGTGGAGGCCAGCAAAGCCCCTTTCCAGGGGGGCGGGAGATCCAGCTGCACAATTCACAGCGCTGCACCAGGGCAAAGCTTCCAAATATTCCCAGCAAGGGGCACACACCATCTGCAAATCCGCCAACGGGATTTGTGACTGGCATGCAAATACAGGGGGAGACAGTTACACTTCTTAGAGGAATCAAGAAGCAAAATTAATTGACTCCCTAGTTAAAGATCACTGTTTTCTTCTTTAAACTCTTTTTGCACCCAGAGACCTTGACTCTGGGACAGTTTCTACCCTGACAATACACACAGTGGATCAGCTTGGCTTTGTAAGGGACAGGGAGTAGGTGCATCATTTAAATTACCTCCTCGAGGTCCTCTTCCAAGGAGCCAGTGGAAGAGTTACGCTCTCCCGAGGGCTCATCATGGTATTTCAAGAGCAGGCTCCACCCTGAAAACACAGATCCTTTGCCCAGCTCTGCTTCCTACAGCTCCCAGAGCAGCTCAAGGGTTGCACTGCAAGTAGTTTTCCTACTTCTCTGCAATGAAAAAGCTCTCCTGGCACAAGCCCTGGAGATGCCTGCAAAGCGATGGACACCCGCATCACCAGAGCGAGAGTCCCACAGCCAGGAGCACAGCACTGAGCGAGCAGCCCCTTGGGAGCCACGTTTTCAATACATCCTTTCCTTCCACAGCTCTAACAACTGCAGCTGGTGGGCAGGAAGACAGTTTGTTAACACAAGCCCTGTGTAATTACTGTAGGTGGCATTTACCAAGGAAAGCCCGCGCAATTACTGTATAAATAAAAAGCTGTTTCATGACATTTGTATCTGTCAGCTTGCAGCAGGAAGGAAAGCAGCAAAGCAGCTGGGTTCAGGGTTTCACCTCCCTCCAGAACGGCAGCCTGGCTGCTGGAGGACCACAGGTCTTGCCCCTCTTCCTCTGAGATGGGGAAAACCAGAATGTTCTCTGGATGGAAATCTGACAGCTATTTCCCACTCTTGAAGAACACCTGAAGCAGCACCACGCAGAGATGCAGAGGAAGGATAAGGTAACCCGAACCACGCAGCTCGCTGCAAGCCCTCCCTGCCCCGTGCTGGCACAGCAAAGCCATCACCATTGGAAGGGCAAAGAAGGTATAACCTGGGTAGGTCAACGATCACTGCTCCCAGAAAGAGACTCAACAGCACTTCTGCAAGACACGATGAGCATAAACTTGTCCAGCAGACTGCTCGGACTCTGATTTCACCCTGCTGAGCACAGCAAGCCCTGGGCAATGCCACCCGTATGCCCCATCGACCAGGAGCCCCAAGGTGACAACTCCCACGCAGGGAGAGCAGCGTGCGGTGGCCAGAGGTCATCCTTCTGCAGCCACCTTGCGCTCAGCAGGGCTCAGCCACATCAGGTCTGGCAGCACCTGGGCAGCAGGAGGTGACCAGGGTCCAGGAGCAGGCTGTGACCTGGCTCCTACTGCCACAGGAGTCTGATGGTGCATCCCTGTACTAAAGACCCCTCTCGGAGGTATATTGTCTATAGGGGCTTAATGCTCACTGCTAAAGCTGTTCTGCTGTGTAGCTCCTTGGCCTTTACCAACACCACACAGCAGAGCAGACGCTGGCCAGCCCATGGCATGAAAGCTTATCCCTTCACTGCTTCGATTGTTCTGGGAGCAGGGATCCAGAGCCAGGCGTCCTGAGCCCTGGCCTTGGACAGGAGACCGCAGGGACAGCAGGTACCTGCCAGCACTGTCCTGCTGACCACTAACCCTTCCCAGCAACTACACGAGAACCGAGGGGGCTGGAAGGCGACTTGTGCCTGGCCTTCACTGGGGGTAACAGCAGCAGGAGAAAGGAACCATACCTGAGATGCTGCAGTAGGCTGTTTGTTCATAGACTCTGGCTTCTCGAGGTTTAAAGGTCACAATAAATTCAAGTGAAGTATTTGGCCAGATTTCTCCCTCCTAAAACAGAAGCAGACAGCAAACTATCTTCAGACGTTACATTTCTTGTTTTCAGCCACAGCCCTGTTCCCTATATTTGGGGCATCAGTGAAGAACAAGCAGCAAGTAACACTTATCAACAAAATTTATCAGAGTTTGGAAGCAGCTGCAAAAAGCTTTCTACGTCCCTCACCTTTACCGGCAGCCGGCAGAGGCATTTTGTTGAATTAGGGCCATAACGAAGCAACCAAACTGGCTCACACTCCAGCAAATCAAGCAGGATTCCTCCAGAGGCACCAGCCAGTCTCAGGAAGAGGCACCTCTCTCCTGCAGACCCCCCCGTACATCCCCCTGTCACTATGGCTACACGAACACTTCTGCTCACATCACAAGAGATTGAGAAAACCAAAGGGATTTTTCCATTCTTGGTTATGAAGGTGCTGCCTCTTACACCCTCCACCTGTACATGTATTTCAGTCCATAAGGTGCTCTGGGGAGCTGGGGCGCTCAGCGCCTGGCAGAACGAGCCCCCCTGCCTGGGGGGCAGGGAAGAACAGACCCCTTGGCCATGGCTGCTCCTGCCCCGTGCCGCGAGCACTCAGCCAGCACTCACCAAAGAGCTGAGAAGGAATCAGAGTGGGATGTGTCCTGCATGTCTCTGCAGGGTGCATCCACTCCTGTTCCCTCAGCACAGGCTCAAACCAGAAGAGAGGGGATTTGCTTACAGTCCCACACCTCTTTCAACCAAAAATGAAGTAAAACAGCTCTCTTCCTCGTTGCGCTTGGAGATTTAAGTCTGGGCCATGCTACCACTGTGTCTGTAACTGGCGGCTTCTTTGCAGGGTCTTCTCTCTGCTTCTCTTCCAGAGAGTCCTGGCACTCGGTCCCAGGAGCCTCGTCGCTCATTTTTGGAGGCACCCCTGGTTTGTAAAGGCTCTCACTCGCTTCTTGCAACTGGTTTAAACAAAGGCACCACTTACACCCCCCCAACACCCAGCGTTACAGATGTCTCTCTGTGCATTTGTCGACATATATATATACATCTGACAACTGTGGCAATACTTGACAAGAAATGAACAATCTAGCTTACAGAAGGAGACAAAAAGAACAGAGTTAGTCTTCTATCAACAAAGTGAGGCTGTGATTCTGCCTGCTGCTGGGTACTCTCAGTACTGTGTCCAGAAGAGTCTTGAACTCACTGGAGTCTCTGGCACTTCTGTGCCATAAATATTAAATAATTACAATACTTCCCATCGACTTAGTGGTTATAACTCAAAGGACAATTCCCACAAAAATTAAAGAGCTATGGCATGGTGAGTTACTGGGCTGGAGCTGCAAATAATTCCCTAATGCAGTCTGCTCGGAGTCAACAGAACAGAGAGGAACAGGCAGAGAAAACTGCTTTGAACACCAACAAACCACCACTACCACAATAATAAGAAAAGGGAAGTCTGAAAGCAGCAAGTCTCTTGGATTCCTCTCAAAACCTAGAGCAAACACACCTGCCAGTTCGAATATACTTTGTGTTTCTATCCAGCAAGCAACTGGATGAAGATGAAGCCTTATGAGATGACAACAGACTTGCTTGAGGAAGCAAACTGGGGACATCAGCCTGCAACCCACGGTCAGTGTGCCGGAGAGCAGATCCCTCGGGTCCTGGAGGGATGCTGCACGGACTCACCAGCATCCAGAGTGATCTGGGATTTACAGGAATAAGAGCAGCCAGGGTGCTCCAAACAACATCAGCTCTGCTACGACACCTGGAGCTTGCCTAAGTGAGAAAAAACACTCTGATAACAGATCTCCCTGGCCTGGCTAATTAGAGTCTAATAACTCACCAGTGCTCATCTGCTGCTTGCTGAGTGTTTAACAGACTGAATTCCACGGTCCCACCCTGGGCAGACCGTCCCTGGGGAGGGGGGGATGCACTAGGCAGCTGCTCGTGTTTGCTTTGAGCCCAGCGCCTCCAGCTGATCACGCATCTGGGCTCCCCGGCGTTCTGCGCTACTCCTCGAAGGGTGCTGCGCCGGCAGAGCTGCCCAGCGGGACCCTTGGTTCCTCCAGCTGCTGCAGCCCTCTGTGCAGAGAGCCGCACAGACCCCTCCTTTGGTTCCTGCACCGCAAACGCTGCCCTGCCAGCCCTACCAGCACCATCAGCCACGCAAACACTCCCCACCGCTCTGCTCAGAGCCCTGGGGTCCGTGAGGTCTTCATCCTGCAGAGGGAGGGGGAGGATAGCCGGTCCTGAGCTTTAAAACCAACACAGGGGTGCAGGAAAAGGGAGAGGAGTTCAGCAACGTGTGGGAGGGAAGAGAGCCCGGTTTCAGAACAGCCACCCAAATCACCCCAAGGGAAGGTCTCCATTTGCTCTGCAGAGCCCCATGTGCAAGACAGCAAACAAACAGGGAGGGAGGTGTTTGAGTGAGACAGGACAGGACCAGGGAGGCTGAGGGTGACAACTGATGCCAGGATCTGACCATAGTTCTGCCACCAGGCTTCGAGGGCTGTGCACAGGTGGATTACCGGGGTATGCTGCTTAGAGTCCGTGCTGGCTGTCAGACAGACAACGCCTACCATAAACTGAGCACCCGATTTGCTGTGACTGCATTATTTCCTGCAAGACTTTGGGATCTATCTGAAAAAGCAGAGTGAGATTTTTATACCATGTCATCATCCAAGGCAACACCGGCTGCTCTAACGCAGTGTTCGTACGAACGAGAACGAGGTCTCATGGAGCCAAATCATTCCTGGGGAACTCAGAAAGCGTCCCTCCTTCCACCGAGGCCAGAAAACAAATTTCTCTGAGCCTAACGCAGTATCTAACAAAGTACTGGTTTGCTGCTGGCTTCTGCTGGCTCGCGGGCTGCTGGCACTCACTGGTCTGTTCCATGTGCCGCAATCAGATATATTGGCCCTGTGGACACTTCGGAGCGGTTTGGTTGTTACTCAGAGGCTGACAGAGGCAATACATCTCCCATTAATGGAAGGAAGTGTAATACAATTCATAAGCAAAAATGAAGCTAAGCAGGAAAGGAAGGAAATTAAAAGAACCGTTGGCCTGATCAATATGTATCTGCTAACAACAGCGCGCTTCTCAGCTCAGCGAGTTTAGCTGACTCTGGGATTCAATGAACTCCAAGGCCAGCACATCTGTGACAGAAATATAACCGACACGGTGATCTTACCCCACTCTTTTGGAGCACAGTCACGGCAATATATCATGGAGGCAGCGATGGGGACAGATTTGACAGGGCACCCAGGAGGGTGGTGAGAGCCAGGCACAGGGACAAGAGCAGGAGATGATTCAGAACCAGCCCGTGCTTGATGCTTCTGACAGCTCTGTCGTGTTGTGAGCTGCACCCACGTCACCCGTCCTGCTCTGGTCACTGCCAGCTGAGCTGTCGCTGAACAGGACCAGGATGGCAAACCTGCCTGTTCCTCCCAAAGCTCTGGCAGTCAGATGGATGGATACTCTGCGTGCATGAGCCCTACCGTGACCCACACAGCAACGATCCTGACTGCAGCAGTGAATACACGCAGGGAGACATTGGAAGGAGTTAATAGAAAGAGAACTTCATAAAAAAAATATTTCAGCTTAGAGAAATGGAGGCACAGTGAGGCTTTCAGCCGCTGCAGTCCATCCAGGCTACTGCCGCACTTCCAATGCTCCTCTCAGGGCAGCAGAAACCTTCCAGGAGCTCCTCTAGCAGGGCAGCCCCTTTAGCCCCCATTTCTCCAAGGAAGCCCCAGCATACAGAAGGAATAAGGGCTGAATCTTCAAGGCCTGAATGCCCTCAAGCGTTCCGGAGGGATGTGGGAGCATTCAGACTATATAAACCCGAGAGATCTAACTTGGATCATCTACAGGGAGCCTCGGGCTGCAAAGCCTACATCCCCTTGGATGCAGAAGATGAACATAAGGTAACGTGAAAACCTTTGACAGTCCTCAGACCACACCAGTAGTGTGCTAGCCCCAGAGGTGCATGGCTACACACTGAGTCCAGCGAGCAGCCTCTGTACGTGCCTGGGGCTCGCTGCAAACACTGGGTTTGATACCGAGAGCCGCCCCTCCACAGAACCCCTCCTGGGCTTTGTGGCTCTGGATGAACCTGGTTTGGGATACCCGTGCCCACGCTTGTCCTGTTCTCAGAGGACACTGCCTCTTGCCACAAAGCTGCCTTGTGCAATATCAAGTCCATTTTAATATCCGTTCTCTCTCTCATGGGACCTGTCCCCATTTAACTCTGGTCCTCACCTACCCCTGTCCCCAGTAGCCCCCATACATCTGCAATAGGCACCAGGCAGCCGGCCCCTGGCAGAGCCAGCAGCGATACCCTGCCTCCTGTCCTTGCACCCAGCAGGACATCTCAGACCAGCGCCTGGAGAGAAAATCATGCCTGCCTTCATCTTTGCAAAAGGTCTTTGGAAGCTCACCTGCAAATGAAGGCAAGGCCCCATCAGAGAGCGGGCTACACCAGCCAGGACCTGCCCAAAGCTCCCTCTGCTTACAGACAAGGGGGCAGAGAAGGCAGGAAAGCGATATCAGGGCTTTGCAACCTGCTCTGGCTGCCTGCTGGTCTCCACGTGGGATGTGAGACATTGCTCATGACACAAAGCCCTAGCTGTCCTGGCCTCCTCCCGCTCCTGCATCACCGTTGCTGCTGGCAGGGGAACCGGAGCCAGGCCAGTGCTGGCAGGGCTTTTATCCAACTCTGGAACTCGAGCCTGCCCCAAGATAGCCCAAACCAGACAATTAAAATGGTGAAATTCCACTGCACCAAAAAAATACAGCTTCAGTAAGAGCCCAGGAGAACACTGCAAGCACCCACCTCCAGCAGTGAGGGACGAGGCGAGTCCCTGCAGGCGTCAGGGTGGCCGAGGTCCTCGGGGGGTGATTCCTCCTCTAAGGTACCAGAGGAAACAAGCCTATGGACTAGAAATAAACCCTGTCCTTTTCTGTGCATCAGCACAGCTCTCTGGAACAATCCTAATGCAGCATTATTACCGGAGCCTCACACTCATGTCCTCGCTCCCAAGAAAACCTGCACCAGCAGCTCGGAGTCTCTTCAGCTCCTGATATGAAATCACCATTCTGCAGGATCCAGCGTATTTGGTCAGGAACTTGTGGCAGTACATCCACAGATAGCATTGTCCCCTGCATTGTCTCTGAAGCTATAAGCCAGATCGCTTGACTCCAAAGGCGGACAGCAAGAAGAAATAATCAGTTACACTTTATTCTACTATTCCATGGCCAAACCAAATTCTTTCAAGATGCAACTACTCTGGGAAATTTCTGTCATTTCTCCCTTCGTTACTGCTGTATGTTAGACTATAAAACTGGCAAAAATATTGTGAATTATTTCTCCTGGGAAATTAAAGTAGACTGTTGAAGAGGTTCCTCACATTCCTGCCACTCCACAGGGAACAAAGAACTGCTGGTTAACAGGACACGCTTCACTACCCTCCCTCGCAGGCTGCTGCCACATGCGTAAGAGCCTCGGGACACCTCGGGAGCCAGCGGTCTGCCTGGGCTAGCACGTTCTCTGTAGGATGGTGGTTGAGTCAGAGCATGGAAAACTGCCGTGGCTGCTAACCAGGACAGAAATAAAACATACGCGGTGCTGTGAACATGAGAGTGCAACACTTCTGGCTCCATGTCAGTCTCAGGCTGCAGCTGGCAGGTGGCACAAAACACGGGCAGCAGATGTATGATACAGCAGAAACCTCCAGCTGTGGTACCCTGGCTTTGCGACAGCGTGAAGCCCCGTGATATGGGAGGGGATGGCACACCGCGGCTCACGGCTACAGAAGTCATCTCTGGGCAAGAGCCCAACCGTAAATACTTGCCAATCCTATCTTCCCCTCCCTCAGCCCTTCAATCATGAGAATCTCTTAAACCTCCACCAGCCTGAGTAAGAAAAAGCCAGTCTTGAAAAGCTGGGCACCAGCGACTGTTGGCCAACTCCCCTGCACTGTTTTGCAGAGAGGGAAGGTGATCCACACCTGCTCAAAGCAGACAGAAAAGGAAAGAGAGCAGGCAACAGAGGCACTGAAATGACACCCAAAGGGTGTCCTGCTAGCTCAGGATGCTGGGGAGAAAGGCAGTGCCAAAGCTAACATCTGCCTCTTGCCATAAATAACTGAACCCACAGTGAGCTCTAAGACAGACCACAGCTCCCGCTGGAGATGGTGCCTTCTGCCAAAAACTGCAGGGCTCTGGACTAGCCTCTCATTTGGACAGGGACCAGCTTGGTTCCCCAGCCCAGGTGGAGATTTGCAGGAACAAACACAACGCTGTTACCTCCTGGCCCAACGTTTGAGTCAACAGCAGCAGTTTCATAACCTGGGCATCTTGAAGACCACCTCCACCAGCTCAGAGGGAACACAGGGCACTGAGGAGCCACCACCAGGCCATGACAGGACAGTGACGACGTGTCAAGGTCAGTGCAATGGTAACAAATCCTCGTCCTCCCTTTCCACTGGTTTCCATTTCTAAGGAGTCAGCTCCCACGTGTCTGCAGTGTGACTTACAGCTACACTGTGGTGGGGAGGATGCAGCAAAAAAGCAAGGGCTTTGTCCTTTGGGAGCCACCTGGGCTTCTATCACAGCTGCTTCTGCTGACATATCATGTGTATTTGCAAAAATAAATTAAACCAAATTTGAGATGCGCTCGGAAAGCCAGAGTTGCATAACAGCTTGTTTCCCACAGGCTTGGACAGCAGCTCAAAATGTTCATGGTCACATGGTAATTCCAAAATCACTGCCTTCCCTTTTCCGTTATTATTTTCAACAGCGAGTTAACCCTATACAGACCGGAGTGACCTGCTGCAGCTTCTACCAACAGCAACATCCGAAAATACCAGCAACTGACGATCCACTTACACAGACAAGCTTCTGCATGCACCCTGCCAAGCCACCCTGCCCAGAAAGCATTCCCAAGACTATCGCTCCATCAGCCACCTCACCTCTGGAAGCAGTTCTTTCCTCTGGTCACTTGTTCTAAGGGTTTGATGATTTGTACAGGGTGCTCTCAGGCATTGCAGGTGACAGGTAGGAAGAAGAAAGCCACTACTGTTGGCCAGAAGGTCTGTGAGGCAGCAAGGTCCCAGGTTTGGGGGGCCTCCCCAGCAGATTTACAGGGCAGTTCAAGAGTGTCTGTCCAAGCTCAAGGTTACAGGGACATCACCAGAGAGAAGGTGGTGTAAGTCAGTGTATTTTTAGACTCTACACTTGCTAAAGAGGAGAAAATACTTACTATAATTTGATGTAAAGACTCCAATAGGTCAGGGAGAAAGCCATGAGCAAAACTCCAAATGTGAAACTGACTGCTCCATAAATAACGGAACTAATGGAAGCCCAAAGGTAATACTGGTCAAGACTCATGCATTAGCCCACTTACATTCACTCCCGGAGCAAACTATGTAACAATAACATAGCCATTTAAGCGAAGTTGCCATCGGGACTTGAGGCCAGGCTACACTTTATGTCTGCACATCCTCCTGGGAAGCACCAGGACTCCATACTGAGGGCAGCCAGACTTCTGGACCTCACCCCAGGGCACTTCAGGAGCTCCAGAGCAGGTTAAGCTACTTGTGGAGACATAGTCCAACTGTAATGAAGCAGGAGCCCTGGGGAACACCCCAAAACCAGCTCTGGTGCACCACAAGATGCTCTTAACACTCAGCTGATCAGCTCCCAATCTCTACAACATTTCTACTGCTCCAGCACAATCTCTTGGTCACACCATGCTGCTGTCAGCTACAGTGGTGTGACACCGCAGCTGTGCTGACATTGGTGGCTCTCAGCCCCATATGGGCTATAGGAGTAACCAAGAGTACATGATCTCTTTCCTTGAAAAAAATTATGTTTACCTATTCAAAGAAGAAAAAAAAGCATATGGGCTTATTCTAGGGTTTACTCCAAAGATGAAAAGGGATTTTGCACTGCTCAGACAGCAGGCATTCTTCATCTCAGACCATGCAAATAGCCTCAGGGCTTGGGCTGATTGAAGGATAGAGGGATTTGCTTGCATAAACAGAAAAGCAAAAAAAATTTTCAGTACCTATGTGCAACAGAAAGAAAGTCCATTTAAACCTGCCAGCCTTGTGTCCAGGCTCACAGCTGAGACTGGAAGGGAGATTCCAGGTTATGTGAAGGGATTGGTATTTCCATGATTAAACTCAGGCTGAACTTGGCCTCCTTTCCACTGACAACCATCTAATTCTTCAGGTCAATATGTGAACTGCCAGTGCTCTAATATCCTGTGTTAATCCCCACGCAGTATACGTACAGTGTGCCCTTACATATAATAATCGATGCCTCTGAACTGTAAGGACACTTAAGTGCCCTTAATTGAGAACCCTTGCAGCAGCGCTCAGCTCTCCGAACCTCACTAGAAACCTGATGTTTTACCTCTCAGCTCATCCAGCCAGCTGATGCGGGCATCTGCCAAGTGACCTCATTCAAGGAGGAGGAGGAGGAGGAAGGGAGGCTCTCAGGCATTGCTTACCACTGGCTCAATGGTGAAGATATCATCAGAGAAAAGCATGGGGTCTTCTTGCACCCTTGCTCTCTGGTTCTGGAAGGTGAGCTGGAGCAGGGGAAGGTGTTGTCGGAGAACGGGGTCCACACCATACTCCTGGAGAAGCTGATCCGTCTTGTCCTCTTCCTGCTTCTGCAGCCTGCGACACAGCCTGCAGCCACGGGGAGAGACAAACCAAGCAGATAATTTAATAAGCAACATATTTTTAGAGACTGGCGCGTAAGTGCAGGGGCAGGAGCACACTCGGGGAGGAACAGCAGGCAGCGGCAGCTCAGGAGGGGCGAACCCCAAGCCACAGGGTCCCAAATGGATCAGATTATCACTTGTTGTTTGCTGTTTGCAGCAAACTTCATACTTACAAGCTAAGAGGAGGCTTCTGAAAGCTAGCAGCCCTCAAGAGAGCCTCCTGGCTCCAAGCCACTGACACAACTGATGGAGAACCCACCAACCACCTGAACTGGCAGAGCTGCTGGGGGGAGGCAGATGAAGATCAAGAGGCACCCACCACAGTCCTTCACTGGGAAAGGGAGAAGCAGCTGGGTTTCAGCTGCAGGTTACTAGCACCACACTTTTTTGCTTATCCCTAGGGGCCCAAAAGGGAAGAAAACTATATCTGCTCTGTTCCCTATGCTGCCTTCCACCAGAGGATCCCAGAGCACTTGAAAAGCAAACTAAGGGATCCAGGCATTGCATCACTTCAGTGATTAATGGGTTCATGTATATGAAAACAGAGTCCCCACCCTGAGAGGGGAAGGGACTCTGCCCAGCATCACCCTGAAGTCAGGACCAGCATGTCTGAATCCAAACCCTTAAATCTAGCCTTGACCCACCGTCTCTTTCCCCTCCTTCCGCCCTTCTCTGCAGAGCACTGACGCAGTTAATCTCTCCCTTACTTAGTAGTTGTAGCAGAAATCATTCTAGTGTTTAAAGATCACATCCAAGAGAAGAGAAGGGAGCACCACTCCACAGCAGTTGCTTCCTTGCTGGCGTATTGCTGTCCCCCCTTCACGCTCCAGTCCTCTGGCCGTGAGGAACCAGCAGGTGACAACTCCGGGGGGGGGTGAGTGGAAGGCTCCATATGTAGCAAATTGAGGCAATGTAGTATAAAAAGGAGAGCGATCATCACCCAGCTAAATTCAAATGCAATTAGAAAGGAAATACAGTCATGGACATCACTAGATGCACACAGAGCCCCGGGCCAATGCTGTCACCAGTGCCAAAAATACTTGCTTTGGCTAGCATCCCGTGGAGCGCAATAGGAAACGCTTCTCCATGGCTAACCTACGATGCTGTGCATCAGGAGGGCTTCCAGCCACTCAGATGAGCAACCCCCAACTCCACCTCCATCAGCAGACAGTAATTCCACCATTACATCCTAGAAAAGTCCTGCAGGAGGGAGACAGAGCAAACCCCTGGATAGACCTTCTAATCATCCAGGTCATTTTGGGTCACATCCCAGGGCAGGGTCCTGCACTGCCTCCTCTCAGAAAGAAGTTCTCTCTGCCCTGAGATCTCAAAAGCTTCTCTAACAGCAGGACAGTGGCCTTCGAGCCATGACCGTTCCTAAGATCGCAAGTAAGGAAGAACAAAAGATCATGGTCAGGGTCTAGGACACAAACTGGCATGAGATCAAATGTAACTGGAAAAAAAAAATATCAGGTTGAAGTTAAGGGTGGGGAAACCCGGTTGCTTCCAAGGGGAAAGAGGGTGACTCAGGGTCCAGTCCAAGACAGGCAGGTGGGAAGAGATGATACAGGAACAGGCCAGCAAAGTAACAAGAGCAGGTCAGGAAATTTTCTTTTAACACACTGAGTTTGCACGGAAGTCACACACTGTAATTAAAAACAGAACAGTGGAAAACTAGTTTTGGCCTTCAAGGCATTTCTGACCTAATTATGTTGAGCTTTACTTGATCAGAAGCCCTTAAAAAGCGCTCCAGTCTAAGGCAGTTTCCTGACCAGCTATGGGTTCAGACTGACTCACACATACCTACATCCATTCAAGTCTGAAAAGTCACCCAAGGATTCCCTAAATCGTCCAAGCTTCTAAATGTAGTGTCCCATCCATTTCCCTGGGCTCTAAGTGTTTCTCTGCTGCCTGAAACAGGAGCTCCAAAGCTTCACCAAAGACACCCTTTGAAGAACCTGCCCCATCTCTCACCGCCACGAGGACACCGGCTGCTGAAGCCCAAATGCACTTCCCTGCAGAACCTTCCACCTCCAGACCCTTCCCTGCTTCTTAGGAGGGGCCAAAGTACCCCGTTGTGCTGGAACCGGGACAGGGCAATGCAACCCAACATCCTACAGCAGGATGGCCTCAACTCTCCAGGCCAGCGAAGCGCTCCACCCTGCCCGTTCCTGGAAACGGAGCCTGCCATCTTACCAGAGCTGGAGTGAGAGACGCTGCCGTGAATATCAGCACAGTTATGCTACCTGCAGCTATGTTAAGTGCTGCTACTCAGTGCAGTAACAAGCGCTGACGCTTTCCTCAGCCTCGTGGACCCTCTGTAGCCCAGGGGTCTCTGGATCTCAGTGATTTGTGGCTCCCATAAACATGAATTTGCCCTCTGAGGAAATCCAGTCATTGCAATCAACCTTTTCTCCCCAAAACATCATCTTCAGCTGGAGTGGGAAGTGCCGAGTCCCGTTACCCTGAAGCCCAGGGACACGCACCTTGATACCATGGATCATTTACTTGTCCTAGACCATTCAAAAGCACCAATACTCCTTGAGCCCATACATTAGTTTTACCCTTGGGCAGTGTATCTTACTGAAATGAGCCTTTCAAACAAACCTCTCCTTCTGCTGATCCTCTTCTTCCTGAGTAACAAAAGTCTTCCACTGGAACTGGGCTCTGATGTTACTCCGATTGTGGATGAACACGGACCCGTAGCTCGACAGTGTGAGGTAAGTCTTCGCAACCGTCAAGAAGTTCCTGTCCAGCCCAATGTTGGTCTCTACAGCTGCTCCGTAAAGGCTTACGTGAATATCTTCACCTGGAACAAAGCAAGGGGGAGTCTTAGCTCATCACACTTGAAGTACAAGGAACAGAGCAAACCCCAGGCAACAGAAGACAGCGTTACAGCTCTCAGCCGTATCAGCACTTCCATGGATCAGCACATTTTATCACATCCCGATAGCTGCGTGTGTGCAGCATGAGGATGCCTCAGACACCACCTCAAGCACCTTATTCCTGGGGGTGTTTGCACACGTTTATCCCCAGGGTGACACCACTGACAGTGAGATGTGCCCAGGTGGCCTTTGGGTTGCCATCCCACTCAGGTACAAGGAATTCTGCACCCATGTCATTCAGGTGACAGGGGAGTCCCACCTCAGTCACAGCCCACCCAGGGTCTCCTGCAGGTACGTCACCAGTGCTGCGTCTCTCCTGACCCCTTGCTGCTGCCCAGCAAAGGTGCCGGGGAGCATGTGAGCAGAAAAGGGAGCTTCAGAGGAACAAGCGAAGTAAGAGCACACGGCAGGGTGGGACACAGAAGAGAACTTGACTGCGTTGTGGGTTTGTGGAGAAGTGTCCAAACGAGACTGCTGGGGCATGGCCCACACCAGCCTGCCCGCAACACTCCTGCCAGCCCGTTTCTTCGGCCCGGATCCTGCTGCCTGAGCCTGCAAGCCTACACAGAGTATTCCCAGGCTATTCCAGGACCAGAGCAAGGACATCTTTGCTTTCCACCTCAGACCCCGCTGAAGAGGAGAGAGCCCCTAGCTGTGCACATCAACTGATCAATGACCGGAGTCTTGTTGGAGTACCTCCAAGCATTTCGCCCTCCAGAACAGACTCCCACCAAAGGCTCCCTCATTTCCAGAGCTTTCAAACCTTCATTCTTCCCAACCAGGAAACGCCTGGGAGTCAGCTGAGCTCAAACTTCAGTACCAAGCCCACTCTTGCTGCTGCAGGTGAGTGCTTCCCAGGTGAGATGCCAACAGAGGCCATCAGCCACATTCTCTAGAAGCAGCATTTCTATGGAGTGATGCATAAAGCCTGAGAGCCAGCCTCCCCTGACAAGTGCAGCAACCCAGACAACCAGCACAGGACAGACACGGAGCTGCTGGAGCGGGGCCAGAGGAGCCACGGAGATGGTCCGAGGCTGGAGCAGCTCCCGTGCGAGGACAGGCTGAGAGAGTTGGGGGTGTGCAGCCTGGAGAAGAGAAGGCTCCGGGGAGACCTTCCAGCACCTTCCAGTGCTGAAAGGGAGCTAGAGGAGAGATGGGGGGGCTCTGGATCAGGGGGTGCAGGGACAGGACAAGGAGGAACAGGTTGAAGCTGCAAGAGGGGAGATTGAGATGAGATGTGAGGAAGAAATGTTTTCCTGTGCGGGGGGTGAGGCAGTGGCCCAGGTTGCCCAGAGAAGCTGTGGATGCCCCATCCCTGGAGGGGTTCAAGGCCAGGCTGGATGAGGCTTTGGGCAACCTGGGCTAGTGGGAGGTGTCCCTGCCCATGGCAGGGGGTGGGACTGGATGGGCTTTAAGGTCCATTCCAACCCAAAACACTCTGTGATGCTGTGACTCTCATATCGTGGAGAGTGTCCCTCTGCAAGGGCAGAGCCTTCTCCTCCCTGCACAGGTTACAGGAAGGCAGCCAGGGGATGGACCTGCCTTTAAAAGGCTACCGTGCAACACCACGAGGAGACAGCTGGATGGAATCCTTAAATCCTCGCCCAGACACCGCCCAGCAGAATCGCTAGGAAAAAGAGAGCCCCGTCTTCTGGAGTGGGGTTGGGGAATGAAGCAAGACTTACAGCAGTAGATCTCTACAGTCATTCATTCATCTCCACACATGGAGAATTCAGCCTTCATGCCTGTATAACCCAAATTTTTCTGCTCTCAAGGGAGCCTGGAGCAGTAAGGGTTTGTGGCCAGAGATGAGTTACGTTGCGAGAAAAATGGAAACGTTTCCAATGACTGGACAATCTGCTTTCTACAACAGACAACTCAGCATATAGAAATAACCGAAGTTCAGAAGAGTTACAGAGGGAGGTATGCTTTCCAAGCATTGCCTTTCCCCTCCACTGAATCCTCAGCATATATTGGCAAGCAGAGGAACCAGGACCCAAGAAATAGGAGACGTGCACAGGGCTTTGAGCATGTACAACTTGGGTTCATAGAGACATGACCAAACACTCTACAAACATCAAAACGACAAAGTACTACAAAATAAACACCATGAAAAGTATAATCATCTCACTGTCTAAACCCGTGGCCACATGAGTCTGGAAATATTGGGTGTAGTTCAGATCTCAAAAACCAAGCTGAAGCATTTGAAGTTAAATAGAGAAGGGTAGAAAAAACAATTAAAAGTACAGAGCGGCTTCTATAGGAAGCCTGAATAGGATTCCTCAACCTAGAAATCATATGGGAGATAGACAGAGATTTGTAAAAGCATGAATAGCTTGGGAAATGTGAATAGGGAAAAATTTGTCATGATTTGTCATAAAATAGGAACCTGAGGGACTGAAGTGATGTTGTTAGTTGGAAATTACAGCAAAGTAATAGTACTTTCCCAGGGAATATTCCTCCCTTTGGAACACACTGCAAGAGAGGCTGCAGAGGCTAACAGCTCGAAACCCAGAGAGCAACTGGACAAATTCTTGGCAGATAAAACCATCAGAAGCTATTATACAGAGACAAGAATAAAGCCTCCAGCACAGAAAAATGCTAACTCCAGAGCCTGCAGGGGAGCAAGCATGTGCCCTGCCTGTTTCCGCACGCTTTGCTAAGCATCCCTGATGTCTGCTCTCCCAGAGAGGAGCCGGGGCTGCAGCCCCCCCGGACGCTCCTGGCTGCAGGCACCGAGGACTCTTCTGAAGGCTGGAGGGTTTGCTGGAGCACCTTCTACCACACAGAGAAGCACTTGACACAGTGCTGGGTATCTGAAGCCCGCGATCACTCGGTACAGCGGAGCGTGCACAGATGCGGGTGAGTCAGGAGGAAGGCGCAGATCTGTCTGCCAGGCACATGAACTGACACAGAGAGCCGAGCTGGCAGGGTTGGCCAAGGGCGGCTGCAGACTTCACATCTTGGGTGCCAAATTAGATGTGACATTTCATTTAAGACTCCTGGTTGTTTAATATATAAGTTTAAAAAAAAAAAAAAAAACCACCAACACTGTTCTGTAACAGTGATGTAGCACTAAGCATCGCACTTGACAGGGTAATGTCCGTGGCGTGTGGCTCGGGATGCTTTGCTGCCATGAAAGCACATTTACTGAATTCGAACGCATCTGCCCTATCATTATTTACACAACACAACCTTATTACAGGCTGTCAGTTCTCTCATTCTTACACGCTTTTGATACATTTCCTACAGATAGCAGGACACAGCTCACTCTCTCTGCAACCCGAATGAAGCAATGCCTAAACTTGAAATTAAAAGCTAGACTATTTCTACTGCAGTAGAGCAGATGCTTTGGGTTGTGCACTCCTGAATGATGCTCTTTGACACAGCAGAAGCATCATGGTTTGATTCCAGCATCCATCTGCATGACTACAGATACAGGTATTTTAGCACATGATAATTTTTACAATCTTGAAGCAAGAAATCTAGTATTGAGGCATCCTTCCTGGGGCCTAGTCTGCAGAAAAAAAAAAAAAAAAAAAAAAAAAAAAAAATTAAAAAAGGAAATTAAAGAAGGAGTAAAAAAAAAAAAAAAAAAAAAAAAAAAAAAATTGAAAAGGGAATTTACAGAAGAGCTAGAATACCTTTCTGAATTCTTCTAATGCTACATGATCATCCTGGTGCAAGAGGGAATAGTTTCCAGAGCAGTACAAATTGTTCTTAAATAGAAAGACAAATTTTGTTTAGCCTGATCAATGAATGGATGAGCAAACTCTTGAACAAGATTTCAAAACAAATTTTAGGTTTTATGAAGAATGGTCTCCTAGTATTCAACAGTAATACTTTCCTCATTGATTACTGCTCTAAATATTAGGAAGCTGGCAGTTAGATCGATTAGACTGAGCAGAAGCAAAACAGCACCCTGCTGCATTTCGTCCTCACCGAGACATGTTCTTCCTTTATCCCTGTCACTCCCTCTAGTCTGAATTTGGATTTTAAGTCTTTTCAGGAGTCAAGTTTAGAATATTTGGGTAGCGAGTTTAACTTATATTGCCAGGTTTGTCTGAAGCTTGTGTCCTGCTCTTTTCTCTAGGAACACCGCTGCAGAGACAGGTCCTGCTGCTTTTTCACTGAAAACACACGCAAGCCACGAAAGCAGAGCCCTTCGCTTAAAAGGGCATTACTGCACCTCCGTATTGATCTGCAATAACTCATTCTTTTGCTCCTGCTACTATCGTACCCAATTGCCTCACCACTGCTGGTATATCCTCGTTTCTCAAACGGCACACAAAGGATGGCTGTTACCACTTCACCAGGCAAAGAGTCACTTCACCAGGCTGAGCATCTCTGGAAAGCCAGAGAAGTCACCTACAGCCAGATCCCGCCCTCCCCACCAGATGCTTTTTGCTGCACCTCCCGCAGAGCCACCACTTGATCGGAGTCAGGAGCACAGCTCCGAGCTGTTTCACTGTCGGGAAGCTCATGACCATGACAGTCATTTGTAAGTGTTTCTCCAGGGCAGTGCTCATGAGCTTCCTTCAGCCACTGGTAAATCACCACATTATTTCCTCCAGCCCTAGAGCAACTGGTTTATAAACCTCACCACTGAACAACTGCCGCTGCTGACACAGGTGTTTCTAAAGAATCATTCCCCGGCTACAAAGCTCAGAGCATCCGAATCATTATCATTGCCACAGTTATTGCTGTTAATGGCCAGATGTCCCCAGCATGTCCCAGGCATCAGCAAAGCACCCCCTGAGCCCATGCAGCACACACAGCAAGAAGAGGGTCTCCACCCCAAAGGCATTGCAAGGAACCACAAGGCAACAGATGGGGAGGAAGAAGGGGGTGGAAAGCAATGACCAGCCAGCAGTGGTCTAGGGGACAGGTTGCAGGCTCTTCTAGACAGCTCTCTTGCCCATTA